TAGTGCCTAAGGCAGAAGGCTGGCGGTTCAAACCCACTAGCCGCTCCTCAGAAGTAAGGTTGGCAATCTACTTCTGTAGTGATACCACCTGGGAAACCCAAGGAGGGTTCGCTATGAGTCAGATCCAACTCGATGGCAGTGTGTTGCATTGAGTTGTCACATACTACTCTCTCCTTTGCCCTCTCTCCCTCTCCCCGCTTGCTCTCTCCCCTTCTCTGTCTCCCCCATGTCCATCTCCCTTTCTCATACACACATACAGGCAATCTACCAGTTAGGATGCAATTTTCTCTTTGGAGAGGCAAGCCACCTTCACATTTAAGTGTGGTCAGTTCCTTGCTTAGTGAAAAGTTGCTGAGTTCCCCTGCAGTGGTGCTCTTCATTGGAAGAAAAGGAGAAGGCAATCTGAATTAGGAACACTGTAAGGGCACTCAGTATGATAGGAAGGTGGGCAAAGGAACGGGAGAGAAAAAGTTAAAAGGAGAAGAAAGGCCACAGAGTGATTTTAGCAGTTCTAATAAACCAGAGCCCTAGAGGGGCCCTATGTGCCCTCTGACAATCGCTGATGAAGAGAAATGAGACTTGTGCCAAAGTCTGCTTCCGCCCTGTTATCCCTGCCTCACCAGCTGGGCAAGTAAACTCCCCTTTGTATGCCATACAAAAACCCAAACCCATTGTGAAGTGGATCAGGATTCATAGTGACCCTATAGAACAGGGGTGAACCATAGGGTTTCCCAGCTGGTAAATTTTTATGGGAACAGATTGCCACATCCTTCTACCCCGGATGGCTGTTGGGTTTGAACTGCTGACCTTTTAGCAGTTGAGCACTTAACCACTGTGCCACTAGGACTCTTTTCTATGCCGTTGTTGTTATGGGCCATCAAGCCGTCTCTGACTCATGGCGACCCCTCCTTGGGTTTCCAAGGTGGTATCTCTATGGAAGTACATTGCCCAACCTTCCTTCCAAGGAGTGGCTGGTCAGTTTGAACCGCCAACCTTCTGGTTAGCAGTCAAGTGCCTTAGGAACTGTGCCACCAGAGCCATGCCATACATACTAGGAAAAGAAATAGAATGAGGAGATATGTGTAGAACTCCTGTACTGCCCACCTCAATATTCTCAACTCTCAGGAAGTTAAATTATGGTGGGCTGTACCTATTCAGCGTTCTTCTTAGAAGACACCACTCCCCATTAGTCAAGCTTCCCTCTATCCCAATTAAAAAAAAAAAAAAAGGCAAGGGACTTGAATTTCAAAA